AAAAGGCTCTGAACACTACGGAAACCAGTCATAAATGAGGAAGGGCAGATTCTGGCTAGAAGATAAAACAGAGCATTAGACCCTCCCTGTTTAAGTGTTGACCACAAAAAGACATAAACATACCTTACCAGTTCTAAATCTCTAGGTGAGTGGCTTCTGAGAAGGAAAACATCATCAACAACAACAACAACTAAAAGCTATTACAATTAGAAATACTGACTGTGTTGGGGCTTCCGTAGGGAGGGTGGCCCACTCTGGCAGGTCAAATAAGAAATCAGTCTCAACTGATGGATGCCTGTGGTTGAAGTGAGCATTGGCAAAAGGTATCTTAAAGGCGGAAGTGAACTTTTAGTGTCCTTGGTGAATAAGTGTCCATACTGAATAAGATGGAAAGCGCATTATCTATTCTTAGGCAGGGGGCCAATGGGAGAGTGTTGCTAGGATATGGTCATAATCCCCGGAGAGCTAAGTGAAGAATACCTTTTTTTAAAATTTATTATTTATTTATTTATTATTATTTATTTATTTATTTTTACATATTTTATTAATTTTTTTAATTAATTTTTTTAAAATTTTTTTGCCCCCCTCCCTCCCTTCCTCACATCCCCTCCCTCCCCAGAGTTTTGTGTCCATTGGTTGTACTTATATGCATGTATACAAGTCCTTCAGTTGATCTATTATCTCCTCCAGATCTTTCTCCCCTCCAATGCCTAATGTAGGCCTGTGAATATCTATCTCTGAAATCCTGAGCACTGCCCCTTGTAAAACCCAACTGTTTTTAAAAATATGCTATTTTTCTAATATTTTATTGATTCCTATTTTGTTTAAATATCTTCAGAAAAACTCCAATTTTTACCAACTTTCACAGGAAACCCTTGGCAACAATTAAACATCTTCGTGTAGCATAAGTGTCTAACAGTCATCGTTCAACTTTTATAGTTCTGTTTTTAGGTAGGAAATGCAATGTCATTAGAAAAATTGAGTAATATTTATTAAAATTTAATTTAAGGAGATGATTAATTTAAAAAAATGACTTCTCAGAAGTCCCGAGAGAGAGGCTTTTATCCCCATCTTATAAGAGTAGAAATGGTCAAAATACTCAACAAAAATCTAATAGATACACTATTAATAATCTCCATTATTAAATTGGCCTGAGGCTTGATGAAGATGTGCAGGCAAATTTTAGTAGTACCATAACTTGAAAAAAAGGTGAAATGAGATGCTTAAAGCCCCATCCTAACCACATCTACCAGCTCTGTCATTCAGGCAGCACACTGGATTGGGAGTGGGCGGGCAGAGTGTAAAGCACAAGGACCCCAAAGTCAAAGGCCTGCTCTCTAAACCTGGTTCCATAACTTCTCACTATGCATGCTTTTAAGCAAGTAACAGCCTCCCTACATTTTAGGTAATATTAGTGCCGGCCTGTAAATTTTTGTTCAAAGGATTAATTAATCTTTGAAATGTTACCAGAATAGTGCCTGGCACAGAGTAAGTGCTGGATAAATGTTAGATACAATAAAAATAGAACAAAGGAGAAAAGAGAAGTTGAAGAGAAAAGAAAGTGAGTGAAAGAGCCGGACTATAGGCATTGGTAATATTCAGAATGTGTGCCCTCTGAAGTGGTGAGATAAAGGAAATAAGAGACCTTATTATCTCCGGCCCAATTTCACTTTCCTTCCTCAGAGTCCCCGTTCCAGAATTAATATCAGTCTGTTTTCAAATCAACTACTTGACTTGTAAATTGATCATATTTAAGAATCTTCTACTTCCTGAAAGAAAAAATTATACAGCCATGTTTTTTCCAGGAGGATAGAAATTAGCATAGATTTACTCTTTAGTTTAAGTGGCCTAACAGGTAAAGATTACCACAGATTATTTGGGATGGCTTTAGACCAATATACTATGAGTTATTTTTAAGATTTTAATAATAACATGGATCAGAATGATGACTGTTAGTATTAACCACAATAAATTAAACATTAGCCCCTCAAAAAACACCTAGGGGCTTTCCTTTCTACTTCTGAGAACTTGTTAGCTTTGGCACAGACTTAGTTATTTGTGATTTGGGCTGTGTGAATGTAAATAATGGGAAAGTAGGCTGCCCTCCATCAAGATTTGGAGAAAGACAAACTATAAACATACACAATTAGAGAGAATTCAGATGCATAACAAAGCTGAGAGAATAACTCTTTGATAAATAACTTTCAACAAAACCTTTTTAAAAACAGACTTAAGAAAAAAAATTTCCTGCTTTTAATTAGACAATTTTAAAAAAGATTTTTTTAGAGACCTTTTAGGTTTAAAGAAGTAAGAGGAAGGTGCAGAGATTTCCCATATACTTCCTACCTCTCATATGCATAGCCTCCCTATCATCAACAACTCTCCCCAGAGGTGACATGTTTGCTACAATTGATGAATCTATAATGATACAGCATACTCACCCAAAGTCCATAGTTTACATTAGGATTTACTCTTGGTATTGTGCATTATATGGGTTTGGACAACTGTATAGGGACATATATCCATCATTATATAATAGTATCATTGCCCAAAAAATCATGTGCTCTTTCTATTCATCCCTCCCTCCCAATACCTGGCAACGAGTGATCTTTTTACTGTCTTCATAGTTTTTCCTTTTCTAGAATGTCATATATTTGAAATCAAACAGCAGGTAGCCTTTTCAGGTTGGCTTATTTTGCTTAGTAATATGCATTCAAGGTTCCCACATGTCTTTGCATGGATTGATAACTTGTTTCTTTTTAGGGTTGAATAATATTACATGTTCATTTTATCCATTCACCTACTGAAGGCATCTTGGTTCCTTCTAAATTTTGGTATACACACACACACACACACACACATATATATATATATGTGTGTATTATATATGTTTTATACATATATTATATATTTTTTTACACACATATATATTTTTAGCCCTCATCTAAGGGTATTTTTCTAATGATTTTTAGAGATAGTGGAAGATAGAGGGAAAGACAGAGAGAAATTTCAATATGAAAGAAACACATCAATTGGTTGCCTCCTGCATGCACTCTGACCAGGCCAGGATCGGGAAGGAGCCTGCAACCTACGTATATGCCTTTGACCAGAATCAAATCCAGGACCCTTTGGTTCATAGGCTGATGCTCTATCTACTGAGTCAAACCAGCTAGGGCTAAATTTTGGTAATCTACCTAATAAAAGAATAACATGCTAATTGACTCTACCTTCATGACACCCACCAGACAATCAAGAGTGAGTATGCAAATCAACCCAATAAATATGGTAGCTTAATTTGCATACATAGGTGCCAAGTGGCAGGACACTTGTGTTGTCGCCATGGCCACAATACAGGTGTTTCACACCACCCCAGGCTCTCCGGGCAGTGTGGGGAGGTGGAAAGGCAGCTCTGGCCAGAGCAAAAGCAGTGCAGGCAGACAGGGAAAGAAAGGCCCATTCTTGCTAAAATCTTCATGCATCGGGCCATTAGTTATAAATAAAGTTGTTATAAACATTCATGGGTAGGATTTTGTATAGACATGTTTTCAATGCCTTTGGGTAAATACCAAGGAGCACAGTTGATGGAAGATGTGGTAAGAGTATGTTTCATTTGTAAGAAACAGCCAAAGTCCCTTCTGAAGTGGCTGTACCATTTTGCATTCTCACCAGCAATGAATAAGGATTCCTGTTGCTCCATATCCTCAACAGCATTTGGTCAATTCAAATAGGTTTGCAGTGATATTTCAGTTAGGCAATTTTCTAATCAGTTAACTGAAATATCAGAACAGCATATCCTTCTAAATGTTGTTCTTGTTTCTTATAAATTCCTTATCTTTTAGCTCATTTAGTAACAAGTGATTTGTAAGTTGTAAAGCACTTCTTAGGATACAGAAATAAATGCAGTCAAAGAGGAGGAAATATATCAGCCTCCATCTACTCTTGGTTGAAAGGTCTTGTTTAAGGGAGAGGTAGGCTCTAGATTCCTGGAAGCCATGCTGCTGAGACCCTCACTGCACCTGCTGGGCTTCAACTGACTTGACTCTTGTCCCTTCATGGAAAGGTTGTTTTGTCCTGCACACCCAGCTGGCATAGTTGCTTCAAAGTAAGAAAAGTTTCTCCAGCTCTATTAATTTCCAGCTCTGTGCCCCAAAAGGAAGTGAAGAACACAGTTTCTGCCTCTTACCAAGTCATCACATATAAGAGAGACAATCTTCCCTTAACTAAAATATATATCTTGAAAATGCTTACACTCATGTAAGAAAAATACAGAACATTTTATAGGTGCTCACCACTGAAATATTTTTAAGTCATAAAAATTGTCACAATTTATTTGCTAAATAGAGCAAATATGTATTAACTTATGCCTAACAGTATACATTTAATATTAATAAAAGTTAATAATTTATTTAATTTAATATTTGCAACGATAAATATTTACTTTGTGTTATGTGCTATCATTCTATATTTGATGTCTATAGTTTCTATTGTACACAAAATTGTCAAAGTTCTTAGAGATCTTTGTTTATCATTACCATCCACCCCCTTAATGCTTATTGTCACCAAATATTGTTTATCACAAATTACTAAGTCTATGCCTAACGTTGATAAATGCTTATCATTATATAATCTTCTCTTGCCCTGACTGGGTCCAGTCTCCTTCCATCAAAGTTACGTGTTCTCTGCCTCAAGTTCTTCTAGGCCTGCCTAATAACTGGCTTGCTATCTAATTTGGTCAATTCATTTTATCAAAGACCATGTTAATATGCAATCCAATAAGATAAGCATCAGTAAATTTTCAGGCTCTCAATGCATATTTTAAAGGCCTTTAAAGAGTGACATGAACATATTTCAGATAATACCAATGATTATAGGAACTGTGACTTCAGCTAGGGGTCCTCTAGAACACAACCCCAATTTATCCCTGTAAGTGGGTCAAGCTGATTACATTTATTTACTTGGTCTACAATTTTTTGACTGAATTAGACAAACAGAAATATTACCTCCACAGGAACAGCTCCAGCTTTTCCTCGATGAGGAATTTCATATGCCTCCACTTGTTGCTTTGTGAATCGTACTAGCTTTTGAGCTAGTTCCCTCCAGCCTTTTCCCAGCTTGACAGCTGAAGTCAGGAGCACAGCCTCTTGGATGATATGCACTACTATCCCTTGGCAATCCATCTTCAGCAGGGCCTGCAGCAATAATTACATGTCACAATTAAAAGCAATGAATGTGGCTTTTTCCTAGAAATCCAATTTTTCATTACATAGTCTAGAAACTGGCATCCTATTTTTCACCACACATATATTTGAGTTTCCTAAATTTTAAAAAGTTGATTTACTTTTAAGCAAATCCAACCAGCATAGTACAGAGGACACAGCTAGACCAAAATTAGAGGAGATTTAGGACTAATCAGTGGCTAATTATAGGGCCTTGGGTAAACCACTTAACTAATGTTTCTTAATATCTTTAACTGCAAAAGGAGAATATTGAATTAGACACTTCTAAAGACATCCTGAGTTTCAAAGGGTGTACAATTGATCAATTCAGGAATGATAATTTACTCTTCAAAAAACAATTCCTTTCCTTATCAGAGGATTGACTACAGTATTTCTCAGAGGAATGAGCACAGTGGTGCTGATAAACATTGGATTTTTCATCAAAATGTGATTTAAAAATTCACAGAATTTTGTCATTGAATGAAAAAAGAGATGCTACCACAACTTTGAACAAAGCTATTGATAATAATAAGTTTTGAAAAATTAACCCTCTCACTTCATCACCAGTGTAATTATGCCTAATAGAAACCACAATATATTAAAGAAAAAAACATTCAGTCTTCTATAATGCAATATGGAAAATCATCAGACTCTTTCTTCCTTAATTAGGTGTCTGAGCCTTATCAATCATTACACATTTCAAACAAGTACATGAGTTTCTCTTTTGCTTTGAATATATTTTTAAAATATGGGTTTAAATCTATCCATATTTCTTTTTTGTTCAAATAAGCAAACACACACACACATACACACACACACACACACACACACACACACAAACAAACAAACAAAAACTAAAGAAACCTGTTGGGTGGGCCCTCAACATTTAATTCCTGTCATTATGAAACAATAAGTAAAAATGAATGACCAAATAAATCAACTATTAAAGTCCATAGATGGATGGTTCTTTCCCATGGAACCATTAGAAAGACTACCCATGGTCTTTATACTAGTACATGGACTATACATTTATAGTGAGGATTTGTAATTATAGGGAGAAGTAATACTGAGCTATTAAGCCCCTAGGGTTCTTTTACTAAACTGTGGAATGGGATTAGCAATGCTTATCCCAGTTCCTTGTTTCAAAGGGAAATATCTGCACTTAGAATTGCAAAACCCAAGTTTAAAGACCAGCTCCACATAGTACAAGACTTTAGGTAAATCTCAACATTCTCTATTTAATAATTTTTAAAATAAATTTACATCTAATTTCTTATAATCATTATGAATGTTGAAGCAGAGGCTCAAGTACTTTGTAGAGTATCAAGTTTCAAGTATATAAGGACAGTCAGTCTCAAGTCTAGAGATGACTAAAGAGTTTAGATTTCACAATCTTTATCAGCTCCAATTCAGCTACCCCAAACTAGGATACAATCCAATAAAAATGTATACTTATTTGCAAATTAACTTTTAAGAGGTGGTCTCTATACCATATATTCTATCATCTTCTGGTCAGACAACCACACCTAAGCCCATTGATTCAGAAATCCTGAAGCTTCCCCTGGGGCACCCTGGGAGTTTTTAGGAACTACACCCTTGAATAAGCTCTCCACCAGTACTGTCTAGTTTGTCACCAAAGCTATTCATGATCATACATCAACACAGTCAGGTTTAAACTTTCAGACCATTTGGCCAATATTACATTTTTTTGCCACCAAGTTCAACAAAGCAATTTTCAATTCAAATCTTCCAGCAGTACATGAGCTATGAGAGGTAATGCACTACTGCAAAATACATGTGCAGCTTTGACCTTGTAGGTCAGCCAATGACTCTAAATGCCCCAGATTAAGTGATACTGCAGCAAATCACCATAAAACTATTCAATTGCATAGGGGGGCTTTTAAAATTTAAGCCTTTCAGTATCACTGTAGAATCATCAAAATAACTGAAAGAGAAGAAATATTTTAAATATTCCTTTTTCTTTATTATATACTAAGTGGCCAGATTATTATGATCTATGAATGCATAATAATCTGGCCACTCAGTGTATTTGTATCTCAAATGGGTACCAAAAGTATTCTAGACTTTTGCTGGAGATCAATCACCTACTTGGCCTGAGCTTTCTATCAGCCAGTGCAAAGGGAAAAACTGATCAGGTGCACAATTTATAGTATCGTTGATATCAAATAAATGAAGTACTCAAGAGAAGTATACTGAATGGCCAGATTATTATGCTTTCAGAGATCATAATAATCTGGCTACTCAGTGTATAAATTATTATTAATGTCATTGAATAAACTCCTGTCCAAAAATTTATCTCCTAATTTTGAACCTTGATTAACACTTTGCTCCTCTACAAGAACCTGCCTCTGCGGAGTGGATGTCTGCAGTGAGCAGGGTCCCTCTGGCATGTGGGGTCCCCAGCCTGGCCTGCAGCAATTGGGTCAAAATTGGCTCTCCGACATCCCCCGAGGGATCCTGGAATGCGAGAGGGCACTCTGCTTACGTCCAGGGAGTGGAACGCAAATGCAAGGGTGCAGTAAACCAGATTTGAGCCTGACAGAGCCCCAGCAACAACATAACCCATGGCTGAAGAAATCATGTAGCCCTGTGAGGAATTGGGCTCCCTCCTTTCTGGTTTCGGGATGCATCATCTGAGAACCATTGATACCGAGTCACTGTAGCTCGGCAGCTCCTGTGTTGAGCACCTGCCTCCTGGTGCTCATTGTGCATCATAATTACCAATAGTACAGACACTTAGCATATTAGCATTATATATATATATATATATATATATATATATATATATATATATATATATATATATATAGACTAGAGGCCCGGTGCACTAATTCATGCACCAGTGGAGTCCCTCGGCCTGGCCTGCAGGATTGGGCTGAAACCGGCTCTATGATATACCCTGGGGGTCCCAGATTGTGAGAGGGTTCAGGAAAGGTGCTCAGGAGATTGGCCAGCCTGGGAGAGATTCTGGGAGCGCTCCAAGGCATGTCCAGTTTACCTCGCTCATTCCTGATCACCCAGACCCCAGCAGCAAGCTAACTATGGGTCAGAGAATCTGCCCCCTGATGGTCAGGGTATGTCATAGTGAATGGCTGAACAGACTTAACCTATCATTAGCATGTTATGCTTTGATTGGTTGAACAGATGACTGAATGACTGGACACTTAGCATATTAGGCTTTTATTATATAGATTATTTATACTTTCAAATTTTAGAAATTTTTAGAATTATGCTTTTTATTTTTTTATTTTTATAAAATACCAAATTTTCCCTTTAAGACAAAATAGTTGATCATCTTCTTTATAGCTCTCCACTGAGCCTTATACTAGGTTGAATGTTATGAGGAGAAAAAAAATGATCCTGTGAGTCCTACTAAAACATGAGGATTAAGAAGAGAATAAGCAATGTTATTTTGGGATTATGATGAATCACATAAAGAAGAAGAATATTAAATTTCTAAAGTAAAGGACATTGATTATATGTTTTTTTAAAAACCACTAAAAAGCAGACCTATAGCAAAGATCAAATTCATTAGTTTTGTTTCAGTTTGCTCTTTCATGTAATTGGAATTTCTGATATTTTAAGAGTTATCCAAATATTTGGGAGAGAAAAAGAATCTCTTAACTATTATGCTCTAGCACAAACAGAAACTTTAATCTTCCTTTAAAAGATGATCCTATGGGACTAGTTTCTGAATCTAAGAAACTAATTATATGGTCTTACAGGAAAAGGGGAAAAAACATATATATATATATATATATATATATATATATATATATATATATATATTAATATATATATATATATATTTAAATGACTTCAAATTATTTGAGAATGCTAAAATTTTTTTATCTTCTTTCATGAGTTTGGTTATAAATATCACCAAATTAATAAAGTTTTCTGTGGCAAATTGATTACTGTAATCAAGCAATACTCACCACAACAAGCTCATAAAGAAACTTCCTGGTATTCTTGTCTCCATGGCAATCTTCCTTTAACTTCTTTAAAACATAAGAAACTTTTTCTGATTCTTTGTCTGCGTGTGTTCGTTCAAAACCTTCCAGTGCCAGATGTGAGTAACCCAGGACGTCAGCTAAGACTTTCCAATCATAAACTTTTTCTGACACCAATGTCAATATAACTGAATAGATATAAGTCAGTTTTTTAAAGGGCAGGACAATTTGTTCCAGAAGGTTCCTGGTCGTAAAGACACGATCTGACACTGATATTACTTGTTCTTTTGCAATCACCTTGACGTTTTTGCAGTGTACAAGTCCAATCTTACCTCTCAGGACCCCCACATACCATTCTTTCACTCTGGACTGCCCAATGGCTTTTACCTTACCATCTCCAAGAAGAGCTATTGTGTCCCCTTTGATATATTCAAGTAAGTAGTCAATCTTGTTTTGTCTTAGCACTGTCTTCAGAGTCACTCCGTATTTGGTAAAGTTTAATTTTTTGTCTTGAAATGTGGGGTATTTAACATGCACTGTTGGTAATGAAGGAGCAAGCTTGATTTCCTTCTCCTTCTGCAAATTACCTGGCAGACTTAAGTATCTTTTTAGGTTTGGGGCTGGATCAGGTGTAGTGATAAAGAACTGTGTCACTGGTCTACCATTAGGAGGCCCCAATTGAACCTGGAAAACAAATAAGTGCATTTTCCTGGAGTCAACTAAAGAAAACAAAAATTGTTGATGAACTACTTGACTTGCTTGCAACTGCTTTTGTTTAAGTTCTTTTCTTTTTCCTTCTGTTTTTACTTTAAAACCAGGATCACATGAAAAAACAGAAATACTTAAATCTTGTGGCTTGTCAAGTAAGAATGAGTGCTTTCCCCAAAGCTGAAACACAACTGGAGAGGTGTTTTTTCCACCCTTCTTAATATCAGAGATTGTAAGCTTTCCCGGCATATAACTGTGCCCACAAACTGTGAAAATAGTAGTGAAACTGGGATGGATATATTTGGGCCCATAAATTCCAATTGAGGTGGTTTTGTGGATATAATCCCAGATGGTGGCAGCTGGTGACTGAGTAGCTGTAACTTGTGCAGCAACCACTAGATACATCACCTGACTCAAATCTATTAGCTTGACTTGGATGGTGTCTTCGTAAACGTAGCAGTAGTTTAACACCGTGAAAGGGCCTTCTTTACTTGGGCTGTGCAAACACACCACTTCTGTCATGACTTGGCTGAAAGGATCTTTTCTCACTTCAGCCCCGATTTTCATCTCCAGCAAAATGGCTTCCATTGTGTTAAGGTTGGCTAACCTGATTTCCAGCAGTGGGCTTACAGTGCATGAAAGATCATGATTAAGCATTTGTGGAGGATCAAGATGAACCCTTAGCGATACCTCTTGGAATTCACCCACAGCTACATGACCTTGGGGCACGTGAACAGTGATATCTGACTCAGGTAATTGTACTGACCCTCCTTGGTGGCTTAATTTACAAACTACCACAGTCTCCGCAACTTGGGTTTGGGCCCATCCAGGACTCTGGTTAATTATATTCAAATCCAGGCAGGAGCGGGCCAACTGGCGTTGACTTAACCAAGCCATTTTATAAGCCTCTCGGTCATTTTGAAGCCATTCTAAGTCGTGTTCCAGAATCTGGTCAGAGTTACGTATACTCTGACAGGCATGTGCTGTGTCATCTAACTTGTCCAAAAGTTCTGAAACACTTTTAGATCTCACTGATTTCCTTGAGAAAGACTGCCTACACAACTGATGCACAGCAAGTCCACCACCAGAGGAATCCAAAGAATTTCCAGTTTTGATTTCTCTTAAAAAAAGAAAAGGATCTTCCTTCAAGATGGAAATATTATCTTTCTTCTGGTTATTTCTTAGCTGAGTTACATCATCTAAAAATGGATTAGAAGCAGACAGTTCATTCCAGAATGGATTTGTAGCTTTGGAAACATTATTGCTGTGAAGTGTGAAAGCATCTGGCCAATTGAGAAACAAACTTGAGTCTGGACATTTGTGGCATGTCAGCAAAAACAAAGGAAAAACAAAAGTGAGTGTCATTCTGAGATACAACCAATATTAATTTTTACTATAACTTAAACATTCAAGACTTTTTATTTTGCTTTTTTATTGCCAGTATAATAGGGACTGTAAGAATAATGTTAAATTTGGATAATTTTTCATGCTGTGAGGAAACATAACTATTTCTACAAGTTCATTTTGACCATATGTCATTGCTATTTTATTGTAAGACATAATAATTTTTCAATAAATAAATGTTTAACAATTTAGATATCAATTTAACACACTTCCTTCAAAAGAACCCATACTAGATATACTTACGCCTTATAGTTTTGTGTTTGACTTTCACAAAAAAACCTCTGAATAAACAGAATAATTCAGTCAATTACCCAGATTTTTTTTCTAAACATTAAATAGGTGGTTTCAATATATCTAGATTATTCATTATTTTTTTCTTTTCTGATAATACTCAATATAGAAAAAATTAAATATATGTTAATAATTAAAATAATTTAAAAATAATAATCCAAATAGTGCATTTTTCAGATTATTTCCTGACAACTTTGTTGATAAATTTTAATAACATCAAAGCCCGGCCAGCATGGCTCAATGGTTGAGCATCAACCTATGAACCAGAAGGTTTCGCTTCCATTCCCAGTTGGGGCACATGCCCAGGTTCTGGGTTCATTCCCCAGAGTGGGGTGTGTAGGAGGCAGCTGGTCAATGATTCTCTCTCATCATTGATCCTATCTCTCTCTCCCTCTCTGAAATCAATAAACATATATTTAAAATTTGTTTTTCATATACAATAAACATCAGATTAGAAATTCATTCAGCTTTGATTTTCAAGTTTAACATAACAAAGAACAGGTTTACCACTATTAAATAAAAACATTACTTTGAAAAGAGAATATTTTAAGAATCAGCAACACATTGAAATAGTCACATTTCAACTGTAAGGAATTTCTACATATCTCACAAATATTGAAGTCCTTTTTATGTTGAGAGCTACTCAGATTTGGTCATTTTTCAATAAACAGTGGTAATGATTCTATGGACTTTGTGAGGCTTGTACTGCTTTAGGCAAAAATGAAAGCCAAGAGACCAGCCAAAAGAGAAAAATGAGTTCAAGTAACTGTCAGACTTTCTTTTACTATATATATATATATATATATATATATATATATATATATATATACATACACACACATATATATAAAACTGTATTACTATTTTTACTTTAACATGTATAGAACTATTATATTGATCTAAATAAGTTATTAGTGGCATATATTAAAATTTAGAAGATGCATTTTGAAAAAAAAATAGTTGTATTTCTCCTAGTTCTATACTTTCACCAAGCTAGTTACATTTAACTCTTAAAACTATTTTTCCTCTAAGGATAAATTTAGTTTTTTCATGCTCTATAAAGATTTCATAGCTCACTCCAACCTCTAGAGATGGCCTCAACCCCCAAATTCATTATATATTTACTGCATATACCACTCATTTAATAATGAATTTTGCCTCCCCATAAAATTTATTCTAATTTGTTTATTCTACTATTTTGCTCTTTTTAATGATAGAGTAAACATTTCTATGATACTGTAGGGATTTTCTAATTCTTTTCATTTTTTTTGTAGCACTTTTCAGAGGTAGACTTGCAATAGCTGCTGGTAATGAATGAAAACATCACAACAATTATACCTTCCCATACCTGTGATATTGCAATTTTTTGATGATTTTTGGGCTTCCATGTCAATCATACTTCCTTCAGATATGCTTCGTGACATTCATACTAACCAAAAATGGGCTCTTTCACTGGTTAACATTTTTCCACCTACAAAGTAAAAAACAGGCCAGTATGCAGAGAAACCAAACTCAAGGTAATCACACATGTGTAAATAAAAAAGTACATATAAATATACTCTTCATAGATTCTCTCTTTATGGTAGGATGCTGGAGTAGATAAGATTCAACACCCATTGAAAAATACTCAGATCCTGGATCAATGCAAAAAAAAGAAGACCTAGAAATGCATTTGTAATCCTACAAAAAAAGTAGTAATGAAAATCCCAAGGATAATTTTTTTAAAGCAAAGTGCAAATTTCAATAAATAGACATTCCCTGTTTGATGACTGGAAGACTAAAAAAAATCACAAAACTGGAATTCTTCCCCAAATTTTTCTACACATTCAATTCAGTTAAAAAAAAAATCACAATGTTATGTGTATATCATTACATATATGTGTGTGTGTGTATGTGTTTGTAAGTCCTTATGCTATTTTAAAATGTATATATTATACCTTGAGAATATTATGCTACTTATAATAAGTCAGTCAAAGAAAAAGTTAAGAATTATATGACTTCACTCTTATCTACATATATAAAAGCCTAACATGCAAATTGTTCTCTCTGGAGTTTGACCAGGAGACAGGGAGTTTGATCACTCACTATGACATGCGCTGACCACCAGGAGACAGCACAGAATGAAGGAAAGCCTCGGCTGACAGCCAGGGATGGGAGGTTCCGGCTAGCAGCCAGCAGCCAGTAGCCAGCAGCAAGCAGCCAGCATTTGGAAGATCAGTCCTGATTGCTGGCCAGTCCTAGGGACCCTACCTGTGCACAAATTTTGTGCACCAGGCCTCTAGTGTGGGATATAAAATTGAAACTCATAGACACACAGGAAGGGGGTTATCAGAGGAAAGGGGAATGGGAGAGTGCTAAAGGGTAAAGGGAGCCAAATATATGGTGATAGAAGATTATTTGACTTGGGTGATGGGCACAAAATGCAATATACAGATCACATAGCATAGAAATGTACACTTAAAAACCTGTATCATCTTATTACCAGTGTCATTCAAATAAATTTAATAAAAAATAAAAATAAAAAAATCCCAAAACAGAAAAAAAAGAAAGCAAAAGGCTAATATTCAAAATAATTCAGAAGAAGATCACAAAAGTAATGTGTACCACAGATACCAGCATTCATAGTAAATAAGTGCTGAAATATAATATGAAATTGGAACAGAATTAGACTAGGCACACGGAATACTCCCAGAAGTAGACTCACCCTCACAAGGGAAAAAATGGGAGAAGATATACCCATTACATATGACTAGAAAAGGAAAAAGGACTAAATTCCAAAATATATCAAGATCTCTAGAAATTACTAAACAAAATAAAAACATTATAGAAAATATCTGAACAAGCATTTCTCTCAAAAATTAAACACAATTACCCCTAAATATATAAAAATATGCTCTATTTATTAATAATAAGGGAAATGCTAAATAAAACCACATGAGATACAATTACCACCAATCAAATATGCAAAAGTATTTAAATCTGGCAGCACCAATTATTGAGAAAGATGTCAGGCAAAGGGGAACCCTATGCACCTCTATTGGAAGTATCAATAGGCACAACCACATAGAAATCAATCTAGTATTGTCTAGGAAAGATGCTTACAGCCTAGCACCCACAATTCCAATCCCACTTATTTGTTCTAGTAAAACCATGTGTATGTTCATTAGAAGAGATATATATGCGTTCATTATATTATATTAACAGGAAAGAGAAATCAACCATAATATCCTTTGTTATATGAATAGATAAATAGTGTCTTAATATATAGTAGTACCATGTAAATATGAACATGGATAAATTATAACTAAAAGTATCAAAATGTACTAAACTTAAACTTAGCCTAGGTATTTTATGCTTTTGTATGCAATTGTAAGTGGGATTGTTTTTTAATTTCTCCTTCTGGTTATTCATTATTAGTGTATAGGAATGCAACAAATTTCTGAGTATTAATTTTATATCCTGCTAAAAAGGTTTTTTATTAGATTTTATAGAGTGCAAAAATGAACAGCAGCAATGAGACATAAGTAACCTATAAAGATCAAACAACTGGTGAGTGATTAACTCAGAAATAATTACTCATACACAGTACAGCTACCCTATAGATCTATAACTATGGACATTGTAACTCCTTGCCAGACTCAAGAATATTCTGAAACTATCACCTTCTAGTTCAAATTTATAGTCATGCTATTTTCCTCACTTCTTGTTCTCCTTCATGTGTTAACCATGTGTCTTTAATGTTGACTTCTTTTTTGTCATATTCATCTTTCAAGTGTTTGACATTTTATTTCCAAGAAGTTTATTTCATTTTTAAAAGAAATCAAGCCTTTTCTTGTATAAAGAGCAAATTAAATGAAGAGAAGACAGAAAAGGGAAAAAAGAAAAGGAGAGGAAAGGCATATTTTCCAAACATGATGAATAAGCAAACGCAAAACTTATCTCAGAAGGTGCCATACTTTAAAACATCAAATGGGGCAATAGCAGGTTTGTTGTTTTTTTGTGTGTTTTTTGTGTGTGTGTGTGTGTTTTTTTTTTTCCTTTGATAGTTGAAACTGCACGGAAAGATTGGGCGAAAAGCCGAATTATGCAATATGTAATTTGCACTGAAACCTCAAGTTTCCTGGCAGATCTTCAAAATTCTGTGGTTGATTTTACCAAATATAATGTCAAAATCTAAGAGTCCTTAGGACACCAAAGGTAGCTAAGACTTTACAATAGGAAAACTAAGTTCACATCCTTCAACAAAATTAAGCAAATAAAATATGGGAAAAAAATTAGATGCAAAATTATATTTCAAAAAAAAGAAAGTACATTTTCAATCATTTACAGTACATTTACAGATCTACCTAACCTCTAATTTCTTGTGGAGAAATGAGCAAAAATAAAATTTATACTTAGCATTCCTTTGAGACAAACAACCCTTGATGTGAAAAATAGTTATGACCCAGTCAAATAGTTAGGAATCATCACCCACATAAGCACGAGGAACGGTGCCTTATGCAGCTATGATCCTGGAGAATCATGACATCTCAGAAACAAAGGCATAAGTGGATGATTATCTAAAATTATTTCTGATTACCCAAGCAGATCTTCACTGTCCTGTAAACCAGAGGTCCTAAATCTCCGCTGTGCCAAAACCACCCGGAGCGCTTGATCAACACCATTTGCTGGACCGATCCCAGTGTTTCTGATCTTGCACTCAAGGATTTGCATTTGTAACAAGTGACCAAGTGGTGTGATGCTGTAGTTCTGGGGGCCATGTTATGAAAACCCCAAGTTAATTTCTTTCCCTGGCTAAGTGGATTTCTCCCTATTCTCTGGCTGCTCCCACTAGTCTTTTCCCTCATTCTAAATCTTATTTTTCCCCCCCTATGAGTACAGGGAGAGCTGGTATAAGAGGAAAGCCCTTGACCAGAAGGACCACCTGTGAAGGGCAGTGTTTGTTTACACAGGTGCCAATAGCCAATCACATTTATCATTTCCCTATGTTTCCTTCCAATTAAATTTATGCTCAGTGGCAAGTACTGTCTTAAATAGAAATGTTTAAAACTTTGTCTAAAGAAGCATGAGTCAATCTTTGTTGGAATGAGTAAGTGGGAAAAGAGCCGTCTACTACCCACTTAATTGGGAACAACATTCTTGACAATATGCCTTTTACAACAAACTTATTCTGATTCTACATGATTCATTAATTTTTTCTATAAAAAGATGAATAAAATTTTGCTTTTCATTTAGTTTACTGTTTAAACTAGGCCTTAAATAACAGAACATTCATTAAGTGTACAAATTAGCAAAAAATCTCAGATTTTTTATTTTTTGGGGGGGGAGGATAGGGCTTGAGTTTACAAAATAATAACCAGGGAAACAATACTGTTTAATAGAATTATTTCTTCACAAATGTATTCTCTTGAAGTCATGTTTATGGTGGTTAGTATACAGTGAAAATTGCTATTTTTAGCTACTCAGTAGGTTCAAAGTATTTTCCAAATAGCCCTTGAATATCTCAGATCTCCTTTATGTTTCTATGATCTGTACAGTTTTTAACTCTTGACCTATGTAATACTAAAAGTACTTCCATGCTTGCTATAACTTTTAAAAAATATGTTTATTGATTTCAGAGAGGAAGTAAAAAGGTGAGAGATGTAGAAGCATCAATGATGAGAGAGAATCATTGATCTGCTGCCTCCTGCAGGCCCCCCACTGGGGACCCAGGGCCATGTGCCCTGACCAGGAATCGAACTGTAACTTCCTGGTCATAGGCTGATGCTCAACCACTGAGCCATGCTCTCCTGGCACAGGCTATAACTCTTATAGGTGACAGCACATGCTAAAATGTCAAAGGAGCAATTATTGGACAGTGGACTCCTTCATTTCCTGAAGGCCAAACCTAACTAAATAGCTTGGCATTCCCTTGTATATGTAAATGCTTGAGTGGATCACAGAGGAATTATAACCAACTTATGATGCTCCCCTGGTGTGATTTTACTGGATGTTATCGTGGTGTGTATGATCTCATTGGATGTTACTCAGTCTAGGGCATCTTCTGATGAGCAAGTGGCACTCTGATTGGTAGTATATATACCCACCACCAGTTTATCACTGGTTGTTACTACTAAAGATTTAAAATACCTAACAGAAAAAATGACAGAAGTCACTTACCTTTTTTTTTTAAGGCTTTATAAGATTCTCCAGGGACCCTGGTGCATTAAGCTGTATTAGCAATGTACAATAATTTTGATGATGCTTCCAATCTTGGTAACTCAAAACATTCTATTAATATGTTATCTTGTTAATATCAGCATGTCAAACTGTCTATCACTTCCTTCATACTCAGGATCTTTCCATCACTGGCAGAACTGAAATTTGGGAAATTATAATAATTGTGCAGGATAACATATTAGTGAGCACAACTCAGAAACAGAAACAGTAGATCAGAAATTATTTTATGTTCAGCTCAATGATGTAACCAAA